GAGATTGAGAAAGCTGCGGTTATTGGTAATAGTCGCAATATTTTCCATCGAATTAGGAATACGGGTCCTAGGAAAATAAATGAGCTAATTAAGGAGTCTGACGGTACAATAATTCACGATCAACAACGCCNCTATGCAGATATCGATAAAAACAACGTCGGACCCGGCCACAAGCTCGAAACACAAACGACGGATATCGTCGACCTCGTCTACCTTGCTGGACACCCGCTGAACCCTCCTTCCAGATGCCATGTATGTCAGCTCGCAAATCCCTCCAATGCCAGCTCGCCTGACCTATCTGGGCCTTTTGTCGTTCGCCACTCCATGTCCCGGGCTTGGTTGCCGGTTTCCACCACCGAACAGCAGGTCCTCGTGACTATGGCGTTCGCCCCGTTAGCTTTTCATCATACGTAGATGTGTAATAAAAAAGGCATCGGAGGAATGACCGTGAGAAGTGTTGGATATGAAAATGTAGGGAGATAGAGAAGACTGCGGTTATTGGTAATAGTCGCAATATTTGCTGTCTAATTGGGAATAAGGGCCTCAGGAAAATAGGCGTGATTGAGGTCATTAGGGAATCCGATGGCACACTGATTCACGATCAGCTACGCCATATTGAGCGATGGGTTGACCATTTCGACAGTCAGTTCAACTGGCCCCCATCGACCTTTAAACTATCACCTTCCACCGTGACTGCACAAATAATGCCAGTCGTCCATCTGAAATGGAGGTTTCCCGTTAAATAAGCTATCTCAAAAGGCATAAGGCCTCCGGTCCAGACGGGCTCTCCCCATCCGTTTTTAAGGATGGAGGTTTAGCCTTGATTTCGGAGTTAACGAAACTCCTGGGCTCAGGTTGGGAGAGGGAACAGGTTGGTGTAAGTCGGTGATCATACCGTTTTACAAGAAAGGTGACAGATCCTCCTGTGAAAACCACAGGGAAATTAGTTTAATCAACATTGCTTCAAAAGTATTGTACTGTGATCTATTTGGCACACAGCTTGAACTCTGACTTGTATGAAAAAATCTGTAACCCATTGAATACTTGATACGAAACGTTGTTTTGACCTAGCAGTTGTATTCCCTGTGCTTCGCTGCACTGGTAATTCACATCTACTGCCAAGGCGATCAGATGTTTGAAGCCTGATTAACATACCGAGAAAAGAACTGCTCATCTCCTTGGCCTTTCGTTTGTAAAAATATAGATAGGGAGAATCTTTGGCCGGTATTAGGATTCTTTTCTTAATTGTATTAATTTATACTGTCTATTGTAAGCGCATGAAAAGGTACAGTGAAATCTATCGGGATATAAATTTTGCACTGTTATAAAGCGTGGTTCTCTCTTTAAACTGTGGAATGTTACTGTTACTACAACCAAAATCTATGCACGAAATTTCATGGTTAATGGTTGTAAGAACTGAACTGAATTTATGCGTGTACGCATATGCTTCTTAGACCACGGTCAGAATATCAGGTCACACTGTTCAGGTTTCATATAACCTTTTCAAGGTCTCTCAAAGCTTCTCCTAATCAAATCTTTCGTTCTTCTCTTTATTTTATATCACATCAGAAATGTTAACGGTACTCGATGCTTACTATTAGTTGCTTGCTGTAGCTGCAGCGGAAGAAACCATGCAACGGGATTGTTATATACCGGAACCGGCTGTAAGTCTTACAGTCAGTGATTATTTTCGACAACTTTTGCAGAGGATACCACTGACCTCAAGTTCAGCGGATCCCGACGTGCCGGAGGAGTTTTCCGAAGTCGTGAACATGCTTAAGTCGGTATGTCGTGTACCCTGTTTGTCTTTAGTCACATAGGCCTCAGATCAGCATCTTTTTCAATGGAAAGAATTTCCAGTCGAACTCCCATCTAGCATATTGGATGTGTCGGTAGGTTTTTATTACAGTGGAAAATGAAATGTGACTTGCTTATAGCATGTTCCGTTGGCCAATATCTTTAGCGCACCAGAATTTGATGAGTGTGAGTTATTGTCCAAGGATTCTCACGGAAATTCAAAACCTCTTAACCGGCATCAATTAATTCAACTTCGCCGGACAGCCGAATTCGATGTAGATAGTATCAATTTCATTGGTAATTCTGTTCCCATTTCCTGTTTGGTCAAACAAATTGAATCAGGTGAAGTACATACGTGGAAAATATCTCCGTTTTTCCTTAAGGGAACTGATAACATTCGGAAAACACTACTCGAAGTAAGCCATAAAAACGTCCTGTTGATTCCTTCAATTTCTGTCCACCTCTGTTGTGTTCCCTTGTAGGACCTACAGGCCGCCCTGGCTGAGCTCGTAATACATGCACATGATCGTGTGGTGAGCAAACAGTTCAGTATGGCAGGCGCACTCCGTGTTGCTTATCGGGATTGTTTCATTCGATTTGTGGGTGAGCTCAAACGTACACTTTTATTCGATATTACGGGCTATAGTGATAATCTAACAGTTAGTCTGCCACATTTATGGTTACGTTTTTTGACTATGATGTAATAAATATGGATAGCCCAGATGCAGTTCAGAAACATCCAAGCATTTTCTTCAGGTAAATGCGTACTGTGTTCAGAAACAAGGTTTCTGCCTTACACTTGAATTTCCAGCAACAACTTACATGTTTTGAGTTTGCATTCATATTTTTGTACTGCGCACAGTGAACTACTTAGAAAAGCAAAATATAGCCTGCTGTCCCTGTTTTTGTGTTGGAATACTCATCTTTGGTTAGTTTTTGAACTTCCAAATGCAGCCAAATAATGTGCGTCACACAAGGTCACACTTTTTGTCATACTGGCAGATAGATTCAGTCTTTGAGTATTATTTACTAACCAGCAGTAAACCTAGTCTTGGATGCAGTCACCAGTCGCCAAAGCTTTAAAAGGGGTTTTCTATCAAACGTAATACCATTGTTTCATGGTGAAGTTCCTTAATTGATCTTCATCTTGCTGCATTCGACAGAATAATGGCTCGTTACATCATCTTAGAAAGGAAAAACTGATAGAAGAGCGCGTATCCGCTGGTGATGAGTGCTCATTCACCCGCCAAGGTCTTGCCACCCAGTAGACATGAATGGGCACTCAGTAGTCTGTAACGCTTCAAAAAAACTATCGATGCCTATTTATTATTTGCAAAAACAAACTTGTTAAAGTTGATTATGGTTTTTTCGGCTGTTCAGTTATTACATTGGCTCCAGGTCATTCTTTCGGAGTTCCATTTATAGAACTAATATATGCAATTTAGCTATAAGGGCAACACTTGGGTTTCATGAATTGCGTTAGTTAGGTAAGTTATGCAACTCTCCTGTAACTAGTTACTTATTTCGGCATCAGATTATTTTCGTAGTCTGCCCACGATCCTACAGCAGTATCCGGCGTCTTGAAAAAATTTTTTTGAACAGTTCAGATATGCCTTTCCGTTGAATGAACATCATTGATTCACTACTACATTAGTTACCTTTAAGGTTTTCAACACATGCAGAGTGACATGAGGTTTTCAAATTCATCACATCAACTTTACGATTCCAGTTTTTGATTTACCATGTTCTTTCCATCATAATATTCACCTAGATTTATTGTTTGGTTGGCCGTGCGTCAATCATGGTGATGTGGATCGTAAACTGATGGAAGAACGCCTGCGATTCCTCACCTGCGAACTATCGATCAAGGTCAGATCTGAATTTTTATTGCATGCCTGTACATTAGGATCATGTAAATTGGTGATCCACAAAACCAGAAAATGATACGCGTGTTATCGTGCAGGTCTTCGACCGCACAATTGCCTACCATCAGAGACTTTGGGCAACCTGGCAGTATCGCACCTGCACCGAAATCACAGAGCTTGTATAATATTTTGTACTGTGATTCGCTTGGCCCAGTCTAAACTCAAATGAGTGTGAATGTATATCAGACGGCTTCGCACTTTTTCCCATATAACTGACAGTAATGCGCGAGTAGGACTGTGATATCCTATGTTAAGTGCGAATGTTACTGATCCTATATGTTCGTTTCACAGGTTTGCGGTTGTACCACATTCCGCACACAGATTTTGAAAATTATATGAACTGTATCAATAATAGTCTCCTAGAGAGTAACATG